CAAGAAGAAATGTTTTTAATCCAGTGATACCAGCCCTGCAGGACATATCTCAGAAACAATGGGGTAGTATGTCCCCCTTTGCTTCCCACATCTTGGTTGTGTGTGACTTCAGTCTCTTTGGCTACAAATGCACAAACTGAAACAGTCAGACTCATAATTTCTGTAAGTCAAGACTAGAGGAGCTAATTGGAAGAAAAGAACCAGTCAGGGATGTCAGCCCGTACCTCTCATCTCCTCCTCAACAGCCTCTCACTTCAACAATACCAGAGCACTGTGTTCTATTGTTAAGCTATTTTATAACATGCAGACTTGAACAGCCTGGGTGCAGACAGAACTCTTAAGGAACAAAGTTTCGCCATTCATTTCAACAGAGAGGGCAGCACTATACTAGATCTCCCATGGCTATAGGTCATGACTGCAGTAGAGCAACCCAGAACCAATACAATTAAAAGGAGTTTTATTATTGACATCTACGAGTCATGAATCATTTTCTGTGCATTCCACATCACAATATGGAAACTTAACTTGGTTCTGTTATCTCTGGATTGCAACCATTACCCATTAATTGCAGGAGCGCTCGCAATTTTCAAGGGATGACAGATTAAATATTATTAAGGTTGCAGTTTTCCTGGCATTCCATTGGATTTGGGGTCCACTTCTATGTGCCCTTGAACAAGGAACCCCAGCCATTGTACTTGCAAACAAAAAAGTGCTCCACCCCCACAAAGAAGAAGAAGAGAAGAGATTGGATTTATACCCCACCCTTCACTACCCAAAGGTGTCTCAGAGCAGCTTTCAAACTCCTTTCCCTCCCCATCCCCACAACAGACACCCTGAGGTAGGTGGGGCTGAGAGAGCTCTGACAGAAACTGCCATCTTTCAAGAACAGCTCTTATCAGAGCTATGGCTTGCCCAAGGTCATCCAGCCAGGTGCAAGTGGAGGAGTGGGGAATCAAACCCGGTTCTCCCAGATTAGAGTCCATGCACTTAACCACTACACCAAACTGGCTTAATTAAGAATCCTGTCATCAAGAACATCACTGTATACTTCAGTGATCTATTATCATACCTACAGTGCAACCCCATGTAGAGTTATCCTAGTTGAAGCCCCTTGATTTCAAAGGTCTTTGTAAGAATTCTGGATAGGATTGCACTGCTGGTCTCATAACATCTGGCATTTTAGTCTAACAGGTCATCAGTATATATTGACACCTTTAATATGCTTTTTTGTAATCAACTGTGTTTTAAAATAAAGCCGTCTTACAAAATATCAAGCCAATATAATACATACCACAAATGTGTACAGGGGGAAACGTCTAGTAAAACTTTTCTTCTTTGTTGAAACATAACAGTCCTATGAGTTCCTACATTACTTTACAAAGATATACAGTTTGCAAGTCAAGTATGCCAACAGCTGATAAATCAGTAGCATTTCAGATCACTTTGACATTCTTATGTCGTGAGCAAATGTGTGAGCCAAACAGACTGCTTATAACAGAAATGCCCTTTGCAGGAGGTTAAATTGATTGATAGTATTTTACATGAACAATCAGCATCTTTTAAAATACAGACTTATTGTGGATTTTTGCCTTGCTGTTCCAATCCCTGAGAATATATCAGGTGTTACAAAGGAATCAGAAGAAGCAGATGTATTTGGATTGTATGCTGTGGCCAGACTAACACTTCAGTTTTGATAAAGCGAGGAATGGGACAGGGATGTAAGTCATCCTTATTTTGGAAATGAAATGTCAGTCTAATAGCTTATAGCAGACAGCAGAAAGCATGCTTATATTTCAGTTGCAAGACTGCTCAATTATCCCTTTATCCAATTATCCCAAGATAACATACTGTCCTGTGAAATGCTCACACTCGGCACCAAATCAGTGTACCAGATGTTTTCAGCCACCCAGGACAGTCCTTTGACAAGCCCCACAATGCAGGTTCAGGACACATCAGATGTCTCCACTGCTTGGCAACATTCAGTTTCACAAATGTGCATCGCTTTATGAGATGTACGTTGTTTTGGGGAAAACTGTTAGATCTTCACATAGGACAAGTAAGACTTTCTGTAATAAACGAAAATTCCCGACCTTCCAACAGAAGTCCATTTGACCAAGAACAATGAAAGTACAGCAATGTCCAGTGGTGAAGAAGAAGAAACACCTACAAGATGGAACTGCATTATATACATTTATAAATACCGTTAGCACAAGAGGTCTATTACAAAATGCAACTCTGACAGGCAACTGTCAGCTTAAGACGATAAGGACTTTCTGCCAAGTCACACAAGTTTATTGACTCACCAACCTCGGTCCATGCAGAAGTGGTTGTGTGACTGCTTCAGTTTGCACCCCACTTGCAAATCAAACTACATTCACTGTTACCACCTCAGGACTGCCCAAAGTGGTTGGAATGACAGGAGGAGGTAAACGCAGGTAGCAAGTAGAGCACATGGCTGGCCAGCCACATACCACTGCATGCCAAATTCTGCACAGGCCTACTTCATCTACATCTTCAGTTTGATGGTATTAAATGTGGGTGAACATCTCCCATCTTGTTTTCAAAGGAGAAAAAGAAAACTGAAAAGCCAAACCAACTTCCCCTGCCCGGCAAAAGCTTGAAGTGATTTTACAAGGTTGGGAAGATCTTCCTTAAGTTATCAACAGTACAATCCTATGCAGAGTTGCTTTGTTCTAAGCCTGTGGACTTCAACGGACTTAGAAGGGAGTAACTCTGCTTAGACCAGCACTGTGCTTCATTACTGGGGGCATGAATGCCTAATGATGGCATGAGCAGGAAACGTCACCTCAGGTAATGTAATCACAACAATAACATACATTAATAAAGTGCCTCAAAGATCTAGTTGCTGCGCATTCAGTATGCAAATGTCAAGCTCTGCTTTTCTGCAGGGCCTCACTGAGGTGTCTTAGATGTAATATGGAGGGAATCACTTCTCAAAAGAATGTTAACAAAGGAAAACACAGACACTCCCAAATGGATGAAAGAGGAAGAGCGATTGAGAGTACCTTAAGCACATGATGGCCATCTGACAGCTATGCTGATTTTGTGAACTTAGGCAGATCATGGGGGGGGGGGCAGGGAGGGTTGCATCAGTGCTTAGTTCTCGTGGCCCTTTCTTACAAGCCCAGGGAAATGCCGATCACCACTTTGGGGTCAGGAAGCATTTTTTCTCCAGGCCAGTTTGGCCAAGGATCCTGAAGGGTTGTTGTTGTTTTGAAGGGTTGTTGTTGTTGTTTTGCCATCTTCTGGGCACGAAGCAGGGGTCACCGGGGGTGTGGGGAGAGGTAGTTGTGAATTTCCTGCATTGTGCAAGGGGTTAGTCTAGATGACCCTGGAAGTCCCTTCCAACTCTATGACTCTATTCAGATTTCCCACATTGTGAAACATTTGCTGTTTTTATCCAGTTGGAAAAATAGGGGGGGTCAGCCTAGATGGCCTGTAGAGCCCCTTCCAACTCTATGATTCTATGCTTGTCATCGTATCAGCTTTGGTGGTCATTCCTGGAGGAAGGAATTTAGGAACTCTAACAGCTGTGTTTAGTTAACAGGAGCAATCCCCCCTCCTCAGTTTCTAGATTATTTGCCTTGTACAGCCAAAGGACAGCATTGGCCACAGACATTCAGACTACAAATTCAATCTTAATTCTGTAATTTCCTCAAGCTTCCCTTGAAAGTGTTGTATCAAAGCCCTTCCCTTACCATCCTGAAGGCAGCAGAGAAAAATGCTTCAAGTATAATATGGATTTCTAAAACTATTTAAAAAGAACCCTACTCTACATGAATCCAGCCATGAGAAGTCAGGTGGAGGGCCCCCAATTTACCTGCAGGTCCCTGTTTGTGGCCCTCCAGTGACAGAGAGAGTCTGTGAAGGCGACATGGGCCATGGCTAGCTGCACCTGGCATGGAGGGCCAGGCCATGTGGTCAGCTGAGCAGCCAGGGGCACAATGGTGTGAAAATCGGGCCCACCCCCTCCCAAGTTGAGCCTATGTTGGGCCTGAACTGGGCAGTGGGATACAGGAGGGATTTAAAGCACCTGCACTGCCTGGCTAGTTCACCTGGCTTCATGGAGTTTTCCCCCCATCCCTCCCTCCCTCCCTTCGAGAGATGGCCCTTAGGGGCAGAATGCATGTGGGTTATGGGGCTCTGTCACTACGGGGGAGGGTACCACAAGGGGCGATGCACAGGTGATGCTCTTGTAAAGGACCTGTTGTTTCAGTTTGTCACAACTGGGGGAGCAGTGTCAGCAAGGGACTGGATCTGTCTGTAGGAAAACCGGCCAGTGTGCCCATTTCCCCTACATATGGGGATCCCCTTAAGTAATCTTGGGGTGAGGGCTTTCAAAAGTCATGCCCAGCTTGAGGGCTGCCATAGGTTACCTTGTACAGCCAAAGGACAGCAGAGGAGACCACTTAGTGGCAATCATCCTCAGGGAATCCAACATGCTGTTATCTCACGGGTCCCCCACCCCAGCAGATGGTTTTCCCCCCATCCCTCCCTCCCTCCCTTCGAGAGATGGCCCTTAGGGGCAGAATGCATGTGGGTTATGGGGCTCTGTCACTACGGGGGAGGGTACCACAAGGGGCGATGCACAGGTGATGCTCTTGTAAAGGACCTGTTGTTTCAGTTTGTCACAACTGGGGGAGCAGTGTCAGCAAGGGACTGGATCTGTCTGTAGGAAAACTGGCCAGTGTGCCCATTTCCCCTACATATGGGGATCCCCTTAAGTAATCTTGGGGTGAGGGCTTTCAAAAGGCATGCCCTGCTTGAGGGCTGCCATGGGTTACCCTCACGCTCACGTGGCAGAGGAGACCACTTAGTGGCAATCATCCTCAGGGAATCCAACATGCTGTTATCTCATGGGTCCCCCGCCCCCTGTTGGGTGTGGCCTATTATGCTAATGAGTTCCCGCTGGGCGTGGCCAACTCAGGAGCCAGCCGGAATGCCGTTCCTGTGCGTTCCTGCCCAAAAATAGCCCTGGCTGTAACCAATAAAGTTATGGTGGTGTTTGGGGATGTTACTGTTGGGGGGGAAGGTTCTTGCCTTTGTTGCTCTCTCCCCTTCCCCTAGGTGCCGGGGTCACAAGCATAAGATACAAATGGATTTGTTTTATGGTTAAGTAGATGCATTTCTCCTAGGAGACAGAAAAGGTGCAATAGAATATTAATTCCAGTAGGGACAAGACTAGTCAAGGTGAAACACTGTTAGCACAGAAAACTTTTTTTCTATTTATTTTTCATAACTATGCCACTGATGACAGATTCGAATGACTGGGAGCAATGCTGCAGGTTTCACAAATGGTACCTGTAGCCATGTGGAAAGGCACTGTTGCCTCCAGCCATCTGGTTAAGCCTAGCATTACCAAGTGCATTAAAATCTGTGGAAAGAGAATGGTGGGCTTCCCCATGTGGCTGAGGACGTCACACAACAGGCTTCCAATTACCGGAATTAACACAGTTCCCCCAGGCCTCCATTGTTTCCAAACTGGTGTGACAAAACAGTAAGCGCACAACTCCAAGCATTTCAAGAAAGCAAAGTGTCCATCCTGTGCGATACTGGAGTGTATGTGACACAGCAACGAGGAGGAGAACCATGCCAAAGAACAAGTGGAGACAGCAGTGCAGTGGGATGGGGGAAATGGAGGCTGCCTGGCAAGGTGCTGGGAAAGAAATGAAAAACACGACGGCCAGGAACTTCTCTTGGCCACTGTTAAGTACATTGGTAGGGAGCCCTTAGGTTGCAGAACGTTAGCCCCTGCTCTTCCAGACTGCTGTCCTCCCTCTTACCCATTGAGTGACATAAAAATTCTGAATTAATTCCTCAGTGGTCAGAAGAAACTCTTGAGCTGAACATTAGCACTAATAGAATACATTCTGTATGCAGCCTATTTGGATTTTTATCTTCAGCTGCAAGGAAACCTGTTCACCCTGAACTCTGCTTAGACAAACCAGTTATGCCTTTTAACAGTGCCAGCAGCTCTTGTACGCTTGGTGAGATTTTGAGCCCTTTTAAAAAAAAGTTTCCCAGCTACCAAGCAATGTTCTTGTGGCATGGATCACAAACCCTTTAGCACTGATTCTGTTCAAATCCAGCTTCTTGTAACCCAGATCTGCTAGCTCTTTAAATCACACACAGAATCAATAAGATCTGGCAGCAAAAAGGCCCTTAAAATAAAGGTTGTATCTTCCAGTGCATCTGTTTCCCACAAGTTACACAGCAAATGCACTGTGCACACACACACACACACACACACCGACACCAAATTGTACTGCATTGGGGTGATTGCAGAGTAAGGACCAATGCCAGCACTAAGATTTCTCCAGTGCTTTCCCCTTAGTTCTAAAGGTCCAACCATGGGAAGCTTAATATGCCCTTATTTTAGAAGAAGATGGCTGCCGTTGCTTATGAAAAGTATCATGGGCAGATCCTTGGCTAGTGCATACTGATGTGGCCCTCATCACTGAATGCGTAAATTGTGATATTAATCTCTGGTCCCTGCTTATAATTTAGCATACAAGAATGCCTTGCCTGCGTGCTAACGTTGGAAGTGGCTTAGAAATCTTGGCAGAGAATTGTCATCGCAAGTCTAAATTCTGCTTTTTGCTCCCATTGATGTGAACCTGGAACCACTTCACTCGCTTGGATACATTCCAAGCTGTTTAGTACAATGGGTCTAAACTCCATGTCTTCAACCTCAACGGATGGTCTGCCGCATGGTAAACACTACCGGATTTGGCGTAAGATGCTTTCCCATGAGGATAGGCATAGCATTGCCAGAATATATAGCACCTTTGCATTTAAACACAAACAAGCATTATTAATTTTCTTAAAAACCCTGTGTATAAAAAAAGGAAACCTTTGAGTCCTTTCCCATCTCAAGTTTGGAGAAAAAACACCAAAGAAACAGAAATAGCCTTCTGGGGAAAAAAGCTATGTTAACAAACACAATCCCTGAATTTGCGAGGCACTGCTTTGGCTGGAGCTCACACCACTTCATCTGACTCCAGCCCGTGTTCCTCATACAGTGCATCCAAGATGCCGAGCTGCTTTTCCATGGCTGGTAGGTAGATGCTGAGGTCCCTTTGCATCCCTCTATAAAAAAGTTCTTGATGATCGCATTCTCCGACAGACAGGGCAGCCACAAAGCATTCGTAGGTGGGGGATGCCCTTAAAGCTAGCTGCAAGGAGAAGAGACAGAGGCGGTGTCTTATTTCCCAGAATATGGTCAGAAGACTCATGATCCAGCAGTCCTGCTGAGGCAGAACAGGTCTGGCTTTGGTCAGTGCCAGGATGAAAGACTGTGGGTGTGGCCTGGAGTTCCATGAGGGAGAAAGGCAGGCTATAAATGTACACATACATACATTCTTACTAACAAATGATTGTTAGCGAAGGGGGGGGAGCTTTCAGTTTTGAGTAATATATAGGCTAGGGTTACCAACTCTAGGTTGGGAAATACCTGGAGATTTTGGGGGTGGGGCCTCAGGAAGGTGGGGTTTGGGGAGGGGAGGGACTTCAATGGGGTATAATGCCACAGAGTCCACCTTCCAAAGAGGCCATTCTTTCCAGGTGAACCAATCACTGTCGCCTGGAGATCAGTTGTAATAGCAGGAGATCTCCAGTCACCATCTGAAGGTTGGCAACCCTAATATAAGCTCTCGCTTGCCCAGAAGTCTCGCCATCATTAATTTCAGGTAACACAGTATTCCTTGTTTCATTTTACAACCTTACAAGTTCACAGTGGTGAAATCTTCCATAGGCAAAACCTTCCACAGGGAGGAACGCCTGTTTCACAGCGTGAAAACAAAAGCAGACACATCCTGAAAGCTGAGATTGTAGGTGAATCCATCATCCACAGCAAACACGGTTGCCAGGAGTCAACAAGCCCCCTAAGGCAGATGGCTCTTAACAATGGCTTAAAGTTTATGCAACCAGGTCTGCTATTCACCACTGGGCAAGTTTTTTTGATGTCTACATAAATTTTGTATTCCTGTCCACATTTTAAGGTTTATGCTTCCCAGTGTTTAGGGATCACAGGCTGCAGCGAAAACTCTGCTAAGTGCAGGGTCTTCTTCCAGGAGAAGGAGGGGTTTTTTTTCCAGAGGAAGAGTCTCACCTTAGGAAAAGCTTCTTCAGCACATCTTCAGCTGAGCAGACTGGCAGGCTACAACTTACTTACATTACAGCGACAGTAGTAATGACAAGACAAGGTGCTGACTCCCACCTAACATTTTCTCACTTTCCCCCTCCTGCCGCAGTTCCAAATGCTTCCTCCCAACATGGTGGGAATAGGGGACACCTAAGGCTAGATCAGGGGAAGCTGGATGTCTGCCAAGCATGGGGGGAATCAGGGGAAATCAGGGATTTCCCTCCTCAGAATGTTTAGGCAGCATCAAAGCCACCTGCGTTGTGGCCACTGTGTGACACAGAGTGTTGGACTGGATGAGCTCTTGGCCTGGTCCAACATGGCCTCTCTTATTTCTTAAAAGTTTCTCAGATATATTCTTTGCCGCTCCTTAAAGTTTCTCAGATATATTCTTTGCCGCTTTAAGTCATGTGAATACAGGAAGCTGCCTCCCTCGCACTGAATCAGACCATCAGTCCATCAAGGTCGATATTGTCAACTCTGACGGGCAGCAGATCTTCAAGGTCTCAGGCAGAGGTCTTGCACATCACCTACAACCCAATCCTTTAAACTGGAGATGCCAGGAACTGAACCTGGGACCTTGGGCAAGCCAAGAAGATGCTCTGCCACTAAGCTATGGCCCCTTCCTATTTACTTTATGCCCCTGGGCAAATGGAGAGTTAACTGAAAACATATGTGACATAAATAGTTATCTGTTCCTCTTCCAGCAACTACATCAGTCAGGCACCAGAGGGAAGCTTACAATACTAAAGATAACAGCCCTTAAACTACATTTTATTCACAATTTGGAATCCTGTATGCAGGGAAAATATGAACTGTGGTTTTCTGGTTCAGACATAATGGTAAATTATGGTTTGCAGTGAAAGTGGATATCTTTAATTAGCTGGCCAAGTGTGAAAGACAGAGGGAAGGAGAGCACGCAACGCTAAGCGTCAACACCAAGCTCATTCATATAGTGGCAAATCCTAATATGCCATTACATCTGGACCCAAGCTTCTAAAAGGGAAACAACCTCTATCTGGCATCCATCCTTTTATTTCCAGTGTAGTTCCTCATGTTACACAGCGGAAGGAGCCACCACAGAAATATGGACCATGTCCAGACCCCTCAATTGCAAAAATGCAGACTTAATGCAAAGTCATATTCTGATCTTGAATTTCTGTACTTGGAAAGAGATAACTAGACCAGAGATATTTCTGATGAAAGCACACATTTAACTACTGTCAGAAAAAAATGTCAGAAAACAACACAAGATGGCTCAGCCTTAAAAATAAGACCCCAGGAAGAAGTCAGCTATCCCCTACTCCGATCCCTCATAGTTCTCTCTGGCTTTCATTTGTCTTCTGCCTGTGGTCTTTGGTCTCATGTATAAGTGGTAAGGAAGAGGTGGCGATCAGAGGAGAACAGAAAAATATGAAATAATCTATTTGGACATTCTCTATCTATGGCTTTCTGTGGCATTAAATGAGAAAGGGAAGGCCACACACGTAGGAATTGTCTCAGGAGTTAGAAAAGCTATTTGATAAATTTTTTGATACTGAGTAGCCAGACACTCCGCAAAACATGCTCTCATCATTACAAACCTCTCAATGTGCTGGTAACGCTGAGGAGAAGTTAGTGATATCCTTTTCTTCAGTGTCATCTTAGGCAGAGTTATACCATCCACTAAAATAAATAGACCTAGAAGGGTTTAACTCAGCTTAAGTTGAGACTATGTAGAAACCGGTTGTCAGGCAAAGGTTAGGAAAACATTATTTTAATACACAGAGGTCTACTCAGAGAGTGTCTGTTACATATGAAGTATGTGGATTAAAGGAATCTGACCTCATTATCACCATGGATGACTAAGGCAGTACCGACTCACCGCAAAAACTCCACGGACGACCCACCCATGGTGCTGTCGTAATGTTCTGCCATAAGCATTATCTGGAATCACATAGAAAAGAAAGCATTTTATGTGCTGACGTTACTTGGGTTTTGCGGGCCCGGCCTTGCAGCAGTACGATGAGGAGTTTTGCATGCGGGCAGCTCGGAACCCCATGCTACCCTGGGACCAGGTTCACCCTCTGTTGTGGATTCAGGTCATGTCAGCGGCTCGTCCAATTACAGGAGAGCGCTCTCATAGTGGCCATTTGGTGCAGCGTGCCCAGGCTACGACCAGACCCCGCTTGCTGTGTTGGGAGTTCGGGTCACAGGGGGTATGCAACAGGAAGGCATTCCAACAGGCTTTTCAAAAAGACAAAATCAATGAATGCTCTTCTCAGAGCAAACATGTTCAATTTCCAAGCATAATTTTCATTATAAGGTCACTAAATGAGAGCTCTAGTAATGAAAATGACAGAAAACAGACTGCCCTCCAGTTTATTTGGCATTTTGTATTTTTCCATAAAATATTATGTACTTACTCAGTGCTGTTTGAATATTCTTCTCTCCGTTCTTTAGCTCTGTTAAAAACTCCTTCAGAAATTTTAAACCCCTGTTTGGAACAAGACCATAATGGTGACATTATATCACCAACTTCAATTTGTTACTTAATTTTTTACGAGAAGAAGATGCTGTCTTGTGGGGTGTTGGTTATACATGAAAAACAGTGAAATATATATTTAAAAGTATTACTTATGAAAACTGAAAATAGAGAGTAATAAAAACAAATATTGATTGCCATAAGCAAAGTTTCCATTTAATCAGCAAAGTCTCTCACAAACCTCCCCTTAGAAAAACTTCAAGGCCTGTTAATCAGTATGACTAGTTCTGCATTAGGCATTTTAGACATGATTCTATTATGTGCCATGTAAATCTTGTACAGTCTACGCTTTTTATCACGTAGTTCCACATCTTATCACAATTTGTCGTCTATTTTTTAAGAGAAAACCACTACCTCACAGACTAAGTACAAATCATCACCTCACAGTCTTACTGGCTTGCCTGGTAGTGCTAGGAGAATCGCTGGGACTGCTCCTGTCCTGAGCCTTCTGCCCACCCATCATCTACTGCCTTTATTGTGCTTCTGAAATCATTTTATACAAACCTAATTGTTGAATATGCATAAGAGAATGAGCCGGGGTGTTGTCAGTTCAAATCTCAGTTTAGCCACAAACTCGCTAGAGTTCTCTTTCGGCCTCAGTCTCCCATCTGCAAAATGGGGACAAAAATACCACCTGACTTTACAGGGCTCTTGTAAGCATTATTGGGATCATGTACGTGAAGCACTTTGAACACTGACAGCACTACACACATGTTGAATATTTATTATATAGAATCTGCATCCCTGGTTCAATCAGGGCATGCATGCCCAGAGATGCTTGCACTTCAGTCAGGGTTTGTTGCAGAAAACCCTGTGGTAACACAGGTGTAGAGATACCAGTGTTATTTGCTGCAAAACATATGGACCTCATCCTAAGCGAGGCTTGCTTGGCATGATTCAAACTATCTTTTAGGATAATGTCAGACTTTTGATTTAATGTGATGCTCTCTGGTGCTCCACCACAATATTTCTTCTCCCTGATATCACCACAATTGTGCAGAGCTTATATGCTAGCACGGTTCAATGTTCTCCCCTCTGCTATTCTTGAGGGGAGAAATAAGAAAATCCCTTATGCAATTAGATATTGCGGATGCAATAAGAGTGAAATAGAAACAGTTGTGCATGTACTTTTACGTTGTAATTTGCTAAACGACATTCGAGCGAAATTTCTGGAAGTCCCCCTTAGCAAGGTAGCATGCCAACTGGACGGAAGCAAGCTACACTACCTCCTTACTTCTCGAGATTCGGAGATTATTGAATTGACTGCCAAGTTCTTTTATGGTCTTATAAAACGGAAAAATGTCCCTGATCATTCTAATTGAGTTCAATGAGTTTGTATAATTTAATTCAAGGTTTTGTGGTTGGGCAAAATTTTATCTTGCTATAATTTAAGCTCATATAAATAGACATACCTTTGTAATGCTTTTAGAAGTTATTTATTTTCCATAAATTTTATAGGATTGTTTTACCCTAATGGCAACTGTCTAATATTTTATGCCAATAAAAGGTATTTGTTTGTTTGTTTGATTTAATGTGATGTTTGGAATTTTTTTTACTTCATTTATATCTCGCCTTTCTCCCCAATGGGGACCCAAAGCAGCTTACCGCATTCTCCTCTCTTCTGTTTTATCCTCACAATGACCCTGTGAGGTAGGTTAGGCTGAGTGTGTGTGACTGGCCCAAGGTCACCCAGCAAGTATCCATGGTAGAGTGGGCATCTGAACTTGGGTTTCCCAGGTCCTAGTTTGATACTATCACCACTGTACCACACTGTCTTGGAGACTGGATATTGCTGTGGATGAATGCATGTGGTTTTTAGATTCAGGTGGGTAGCCATGTTGGTCTGAAGCAGCAGAGTAAAAATCGAGTCCAGTGGGGTACCTTTAAGACCAACAAAGTTTTATTCAAGCCATAAGCTTTTGTGTGCATGCACACTTCTTCAGATACATTGAAATGGAAGTTGCTAGTCCATACATATAGGTAGAGAGTGAGCAGCAAATTAGCATACACTATATTGAAGACATTTAACAGACACAAGGAGCTGCGGTGGCTCAAGTGGTTAAGACGCTGAACTGCAGGCTGTGGAAGGTTGGTAGTTCAGCAGTTCAAGACCCGAGTGTGCTGCATGATGGAGTGAGCTCCCGTCTCTAGTTCCAGTTCATGCCAACCTAGCAGTTCGAAAGCAAGAAATTGCAAGTAGATAAATAGGTACCACTTCAGTGGGAAGGTAACAGTGTTCCGTGCACCTTGGTGTTTACTCATGCTGCCCACATGACCACGGAAATGTCTTCGGACAGCGCTGGCTCTTCGGCTTTGAAACGGAGATGAGCACCGCAACCCTAGAGTCGGATTTGACTGGCTTTCGAGCAAGGGAACCTTTACCTTTACCTTTAACAGACACAAGGACAAGGTGTTGTATGCTAATTTGTTGGTCTTAAAGGTGCCATTGGACCAAAACTTTGTTCTGCAGGCGGCTTTTGCTACTATTCTACATTTAGCCCTAATGCTGGTTTGCTCCTTAGTGTTCTGTGACTGTGGTTTTTTTAAACAGCATTTTTATATTTTAGTTTGAAAACTGTCTAGTTTATCGTTAGCTGCCTTGGTGGTTGTTGTTTTTTTACTGAAAGGAGGGATCAAAATATTCAAATAAATAAATGAAATGAGTAATTTTAACACAAAGCATTTGTCACAAAGATCAAGGTGAATGAAAGCCTGCCAGCAGAGCAGGTGTCAGGATTGAGTTTAGCAGTATTGTGTGGATTTTCAACCTTGCAAATCTCAGATTAAGTACAGATTTAAATTCTGCTAACTTGCAGAGGTATTTGAGATTTCCTAATCATCTGATTCATTTGGCATTTGAAGGCCAGGATGGCAAAGGAGAACATTTACTGATATTGCTGGTTGTTAAACACATCCCACTATGTATCCTTCTAGAGTCTACATTGAGAAGCCTTGATTGTTTACGGGAACTTGAACAAGGAGGTGTCAATTAGGATGTTACCTATCAATGTTTCAAAAGTCAGACAGTTTACCTTTTAAGCCAGAGGAGAGCCTCGGTTGCAGAGTTTCTAACTTGGGCTTCTTCGGTGTTCACTTCATGGAGGACAATTTTCTGAAGAGTATTGAACTCATCTTTGTTGGTTATATATTTCTGATTTATTTTCTGGAAGGGATGGGAAAACAGATCATACAGCTGGTGACAGTCTTTCATGAGAAATATTCTCAAAGCACTGTATAATGCACTGCATATTAGATAGACCTCTCAAACCATGTCAAGCATACGGATGTTTCAAAATGTGCATAAAAGGACAAAGAAAGTTTGCCCCTTAGAGTGCAAGTAATCCGTTGTGGCATTCATAGATACCTGTTGACATTATCAGATGCAGGAAGCAGAGCACAGACATGGAAGGTATATCCATGCACACAACAGAAGAAAAACCAAGTACATTTGTAGGATGTGGTATGGATGCGGTTGGTTCTGTGGATGGAGTTCAGTGAAATGATCCCTATGGTTTTTCCGACACAAAATACAGTCTACCTAAACTACTGTCCTTACAAGAAGTTTGATATTTTGGATAGATGTGCACATGCTACCCTTTCATCTTGCATCATCGTGCAGGAATTCCAAACGGTCTAGTTTCTGAGAAATGAGGGCCAATGTTGCAATTAAATACTGATTCCAAGAAATGCCACAGGGATCTGATATTGAACTGTTCTGCAGAGAGTAGGCTGAACCACGTTAAACTCTGAACACAGGAGGAGTCTTCTTTTGCAGTATAACCGTCTAATCATTCATGACTATTTTGACAGATATGAATAAAAATGAGAAGCAGATGGTGGCATCTCAGAGGCCCTGTGTTTCGGGTCTACTTTGTTTATATGTAGTATATATTGCATTTGTTTATACTTTGGTTACATTTTGGCTTCTGGATTTCTGTTTGTTTAGGCTGTGTTTTCAGGATTGCTTTACCAATATCGGTAAACCGCATTGGGCTTCTCAAAAAGAGGTATCAAAATGCTTTAAATATGTACCTATATCCAATTAATAATTATAATAGTACTACTTGTACTTATCACTTAGAAGCCTTTTCAAATGTTATTGGAGGAATTCTTGGAATAAACCTGTAATGCTGACTAATATTATAGGCAAGATGTTCTTTACCTCTGAGCTAGACCACAGCCTTTTTTCACAGTTGATAGATTTCAAAAATTGTTTGGATGTCAGGGACATCTGAACAGAAATGACATAAAAGGATGCCCAAGGTAGAATGTTGCTGGATTGCAAAAGTGGTTTCTTATGGTGATATTTACTGGGAAAACACAGAATGGTCACAAAGAATGGGAGAGTAACAAAGTAGAATTCTTAACACAGTGCAATATAATGAAATGACTCTTTATCAGAAGGGAGAAGTCCAGCCCAGTTAAGACTGTTCTGCTAGAACAGCGGTGGCGAACCTATGGCACGCGTGCCAGAGGCGGCACTCAGTGGGCATGCGTGCCATCGCCCCAGCCAGGCCCAGATTGTCATTAAAGTGTGGAATTCTCTGCCAAATAATTTTAAGTAAATGAAAGCATTTGGGATTGCTTTCCTTACTTTGTTTGTATCATCTTATGTTAATGTATGAGTTGTTTTTTTCTAAAGTATTCAGGTTAAATTGCCATGTTGGCCCTTTGCGATAAATAAGTGGGTTTTGTGCCAGTTTGGTGTAGTGGTTAAGTGTGCGGACTCTAATCTGGGAGAACTGGGTTTGATTCCCCACTCCTCCACTTGCAGCTGCTGATGTGACCTTGGGTCAGTCACAAGCTCTGGCACAGCTGTTCCTGAAAGAGCAGTTTGTGTCAGAGTTCTCTCAGCCCCACCCACCTCACAGGGTGTCTGTTATGGGGAGGGGAAGGGAAAGGAGTTTGTAAGCCGCTCTGAGACTCCAAGTGAAGGGCGGGGTATAAATCCAATCTCTTCCTCTTCTTCTTCCTCTTTTGGGTTGCAGTTTGGGCACTCGGTCTCTAAAAGGTTCACCATCACCGTGCTAGAACATTTCAGGTCACTTTGATAAGTGTTTCAACTCCAGAATCACATAGATGGGGCCAAATTCTGATATATTTTTTTGCCATCTAACTGACACTAAGAGATAGCACAGGTCCTTTCTACACTTGGATCTCATCCCTGGTTTTATCAGAGTTCAACTAGCAAGACAAACACCTTGCATTTATCCCTGGTTATAGCAGCACCCGTTTATCCCAGGGACAAGTGTGGGGTGAAACCGGGGTGACCTCAATGTAATGTGGAAACAAAAAATACCCCGAGATAATTACAGGGGTGAAATCACGTGTCGTGTAGAAAGTAAGTTCGGGGACAGGGTTGAACCAGGATTTAAGGTCTAGTGCAGAAAGGACCACAGATTGGAATCATGTAGCTGGTTTGGTCATCATGGTTCTTGGAAAGAGCCACTGACCTGTGTGGCATCTAGCCATAGCAGAGTGTGGAAACAGTTACTGACCAAGAAACAGATGAGCAAACAGAGAAACATGCAGGGGTCTAGTTTGCTTTGCCTCCAGGTAGCATCCACAGAATTATTTCCATGCCCACTTTGAAAATAGCTAATGTGGCAATTAGGAACTGGAAGGTAAGGGTGACAGTGGTTACCTTGATGTTTCCTACAAAGTCCATCTTAACAGGAGCGAAGACTGTGGATCCAAGTTTGTCTAGGAAAAAGAAAATAATTTCTTAAGATGCTTTAATGATGCTTTAATTTAATGATGCTTTAATTTTGATCTATCAGCACAGAAGGATGGGGGCGAAGGTTTCAGCATCCCATATCTCCTTGTATGTATCACAGTTTTGCTTCCCAAAGTTCCCAGAGTCAAGTGGCAGAATCTCAAATCAATGAGCCCATTCTTTGCAGGCTTGTGGAGGCGGCGGCCAAAGGCATGCCAAGCTGGTCGTAACAGGAACTCAGTGGGGAAAGCAACACAGTTGCTGCTTCTAGAATATCTGGGGGGGGTTCTTCTCCTTTCTGTATCAGCCCACGGACTGAGCAGGGCTGCCTTGTGTTGAATGCAAGATGCCTTTATCCGAGCTACTGGCAGCCATAAGAAGCCTCAAATTATAACAGTGCCTCAAAGGAGATACAACTAATATAAAATAGTTATGAAATGAAAATAAAATGATAATAAGGATGCCATTGGAAGAGCCATGCAGGAAAGGGCTAACCACGCTCCTTGGTGCATATGTACTCACTCTGATCTTTGCCCTGAAGACAGAGAAAAGGAATCCCATGGAAGAGCCCTGGAATTATGCCTGGAATGTTTTGATTTTCTAAAAGCTAGTTAGCAATGCCAGAGAGCGACTTTGAAATTGGGGAAGGGACAGTGCTGGACAGGGTGTTTGACTCTTTCTGCCATGCCTGTTTTGTAATTTAAATAATGCCTCTGAAGCTTCAATTAGCTCTGTGTGAATAAGATGACAACTGCAGCTTTGGAAGGGCTATTTAAATTGTAGAAGAGGGAAAGGATGAATTTGTGATTTTTTTTGCATAATCTGCCATGTATCCATAAGCAAACATCCTGTGTAAACCACTGGAGGTGACTGTCGAAAAACTTTACCATGCTTCTGAGTGTTCCTCCAAATAAAAATAACAGTATATTATGTATTATATTTATTGAGATATAGACAAATGCTAAGGCTCATCCAAACTTGGTGAAGGAAGCTTAACTATGGCTTATTGTTATGTTTGGATTATCAAGCCATGGTTGGTCATCAGCCAGCAAAGGTGCATTACAAACTGTAATTCGACAAAGGTTTGCAAACCTCTTCGGGTTTGGATCAAATATGGTTTAGTTTGGTTATCTGAATTAACAAAATGTAATTATGCCTATTGCACTGTCTGGGGATGTGTAATGGTATAGTATAGGCTGGTCTCATCAGATATCAGAAGTTAAGCAGGGCCTGTACTTAAAGGAGAGACTACCAAGGAAGACTCTGCAGTGAAAGGCAATGGCAAACCACCTCTGCTTCTCACTTGCCTTGAAAGCCTCTTTCTGGGGTCGCCATAAGTCAGCTGCAACTTGATGCCACAAACATACATATCATTCCATCTCTGGAAGCCATTCCACAGAATGACATACTAGACATAAAATGGATTATATGCTGCTCTATGTCATGATTTGCCTGTACATTTGGAAATATAACCAAGATTTGGGTGCCAAACCATGGTTAATGCCAACCATGGCTTAGTGTGATGTATGAACTGAACTTAAAGTTATAATTGTTGAATTCCTGCACTATCCATACTTGGAACGAATACAGAAGAACATAGTAATAGTATGGAACCCACTTTAGTATGGAACCCTCTTTAAAAGGAACAACACCCTAATTCCTGCACTATTTGTCAGTAAACATTACAGGATTGGATGCATTTTTCTTCCTCTCAGGGTGCCTTGTTGAGCATATGGCTGCTATTGCTGAAAGGGCAATTGCGGATTCTCTTTCCTGTCCTGTATACCTTCATTAACTGTGATCCTCTTGGGGAGGGGAAAGTGTGCTGCATATTCAAATGTGTGTAAACAGTACAGAAGTCACCTTATTTGACAATGATCCCTGCAGGAGTGACTAACACTGTCAGCTGACACTCCTCTGAACAAACCTTTTAATTCAGGAAAGGCTCTATCTAATCCCCAGCCTCCAACAAAATCCACATGGATTTAATGAGCCAAAGTTTGTTTAGTTATACCCGTCAATGACCAAATTAGGAAAGAGAAGCAATGAAAGACATGGTTATTTAGCAAACTCAAACAGAAGCTTGACTCTAAGCTGGTTTAAGATATTTTATCACCTCAAGCAAGTACACCCATCCCTCCATGAATAGGAACTTGGAGTTTAAACAATCTGAAGGTGTTTTAGTCCCCACAGTAGTCTGGCAAATAGTGTAAAAGTAGAAGACAGAAGATCCAAGTTCTGACTCCAAACAACATGCTATACATTCACAAAAAAAGCAATAAGGCTGCAGAGTATTAACTTCCACTTGATCAACTAAGACCTTCCATATTGTCACTGTGAAAACTATCAGTCACCTACCCAAGACTGGAACTATTGCATAACAAGATTGCAGAAATTCTTCTGTGGGTATGCCACCATCCTCCAAAAGGTCGATATCACTGAATCTTTAGGCAAGAACACAAAGAGAGTATTAAAAACAACAAAAAAGAAATCTTGTGGCACCTTAAAGACTAACAGATGCATTGTAGCATAAGGTTTTGTGGGCTAGAAACCACTTCATCAGATGCATGAAATGAAACTTCAAGCAGTAGAAATATACATTGGGGGGGGAGAGAAGAATAAAAAAATAACGAAAAATAGTTCTAGTCGGCTACTCAAACCAATACAGCTTTCAGAGAATATCTTAATTTTTATGCTACACTGTTTGGTTCGAGCAAATACATTTATGCCAAGACAAGCTAAATTGGTGTAGGCAACACTTGCTACGTGTGCCAACAACAGCACACTAGACCATTTTGCTTGGCGTGTTGGGCCAGATCTCTGCCCAAGCAACCGAGTCACTGGCAGCACTGTTGGGGCCGGCCATGTGGGAAAGGGCAACAGGCATGACTTATGCCTTCCATCTCTGGAAGCCATTCCACAGAATGAGACTAGACAGAAAATGAATTATATGCTGCTCTAACTCATGATTTGCCTGTACATTTGGAAATATATGGCAAGCCACCTCTGCTTCTCACTTGCCTTGAAAGCCTCTTTCTGGGGGCGCCATAAGGCAGCTGCAACTTGATGCCACAAACATACATATCATTCCATCTCTGGAAGCCATTCCACAGAATGACATACTAGACATAAAATGGATTATATGCTGCTCTATGTCATGATTTGCCTGTACATTTGGAAATATAACCAAGATTTGGGTGCCAAACCATGGTTAATGCCAACCATGGCTTAGTGTGATGTATGAACTGAACTTAAAGTTATAATTGTTGAATTCCTGCACTATCCATACTTGGAACGAATACAGAAGAACATAGTAATAGTATGGAACCCACTTTAGTATGGAACCCTCTTTAAAAGGAACAACACCCTAATTCCTGGACTATTTGTCAGTAAACATTACAGGATTGGATGCATTTTTCTTCCTTGTTGAGCATATGGCTGCTATTGTTGAAAGGGCCATTGCGGATTCTCTTTCCTGTCCTGTATGCCTTCATTAACTGTGATCCTCTTGGGGAGACCCACTTTAGTATGGAACCCTCTTTAAAAGGAACAACACCCTAATTCCTGCACTATTTGTCAGTAAACATTACAGGATTGGATGCATTTTTCTTCCTCTCAGGGTGCCTTGTTGAGCATATGGCTGCTATTGCTGAAAGGGCAATTGCGGATTCTCTTTCCTGTCCTGTATACCTTCATTAACTGTGATCCTCTTGGGGAGGGGAAAGTGTGCTGCGTATTCAAATGTGTGTAAACAGTACAGAAGTCACCTTATTTGACAATGATCCCTGCAGGAGTGACTAACACTGTCAGCTGACACTCCTCTGGACAAACCTTTTAATTCAGGAAAGGCTCTATCTAATCCCCAGCCTCCAACAAAATCCACATGGATTTAATGAGCCAAAGTTTGTTTAGTTATACCCGTCAATGACCAAATTAGGAAAGAGAAGCAATGAAAGACATGGTTATTTAGCAAACTCAAACAGAAGCTTGACTCTAAGCTGGTTTAAGATATTTTATCACCTCAAGCAAGTACACCCATCCCTCCATGAATAGGAACTTGGAGTTTAAACAATCTGAAGGTGTTTTAGTCCCCACAGTAGTCTGGCAAATAGTGTAAAAGTAGAAGACAGAAGATCCAAGTTCTGACTCCAAACAACATGCTATACATTCACAAAAAAAGCAATAAGGCTGCAGAGTATTAACTTCCACTTGATCAACTAAGACCTTCCATATTGTCACTGTGAAAACTATCAGTCACCTACCCAAGACTGGAACTATTGCATAACAAGATTGCAGAAATTCTTCTGTGGGTATGCCACCATCCTCCAAAAGGTCGATATCACTGAATCTTTAGGCAAGAACACAAAGAGAGTATTAAAAACAACAAAAAAGAAATCTTGTGGCACCTTAAAGACTAACAGATGCATTGTAGCATAAGGTTTTGTGGGCTAGAAACCACTTCATCAGATGCATGAAATGAAACTTCAAGCAGTAGAAATATACATTGGGGGGGGAGAGAAGAATAAAAAAATAACGAAAAATAGTTCTAGTCGGCTACTCAAACCAATACAGCTTTCAGAGAATATCTTAATTTTTATGCTACACTGTTTGGTTCGAGCAAATACATTTATGCCAAGACAAGCTAAATTGGTGTAGGCAACACTTGCTATGTGTGCCAACAACAGCACACTAGACCCTTTTGCTTGGTGTGTTGGGCCAGATCTCTGCCCAAGCAACCGAGTCACTGGCAGCACTGTTGGGGCCGGCCATGTGGGAAAGGGCAACAGGCATGACTTATGCCTGTCATCACCTCTGAGACCACCAGCTGAGTTCAAGGTGAATCTCTGAGATGCCGGATGCATCACTGGGTCTTGGCTTGTTCCCAGCACGAGTAGCCAAGTATGGCCTTCCCCCCCACCAGTTTGCTGGAACATCAGCATCTTCATGATTCTTATGGCACTTGGGTGAAAAAGGCAGCCTACCCTTGAACTAAATGTTCATTCACATACCACCGACCTTCATTTCCTACAATTACTTGATAACTGGATCATGCTAACTGGCAATAACCTCAGGGTCAGTTCATGCCGTACTCCTTCTGTGCATGCAAACGGTGTACCCAGGTCTACACACACATACAGAAATGCTGATATGTGAACCAAGAGATTTAAATTTGGGTTTCTCAGATCCTAGTCCAAAACTCTAACCACTATACCACACTAGACTGCAGCAATCCCCATGACCACAGAGTTATTTTTCCGGGTGCTGCATCAAAGAACATGTGTGTATCTATAGCCATGTCTGCCTGGTGTACAGAGTGAATTGTTCCATGACCCGAATTCAATTGATGAAGGTTCCTTCACACTCAGCTTTATGCATACAAGTGACACATCACCTATTGCTCATGACACTAAAGAAAGTAGGAAAATCCTGGTCTTCTTCTGCCAAATGCAACGATGTTGACTGGCTTGCAGAATGGACCTTGGGCTGCAAAGATTCACCATCACGATTCTCCTCTTTCGGTGGCAACTGGTTCCTGCCATCTTCACTGATATCACCTTGGATTAAAAGGAACAGAAGATACTGGATGAATCATCTCCCAATTAAAACCTAAAGTGTACTTTACTTGTTCCAGGTTCCCCATTCAGTTTAGGCCCTGAATTTCAGGCAGGACTTTAATTGGATACTTACCTGCTTCTCTGACACATAGTGTCTGAGGAGCAAACCTGGAAGGTATATGGGTAGCCGGCCAAATCCCATCTCTGGCGGGGTACACAGATTGGGGAAGAGGAACAAGTGGGATCGGTTGCTGCCTTATGAGGCGGCAGGGGTATGGATCAGGCTGATTGACACAGCTTGTTTCTTCCTATTTCCATTATCACTGCTCAGACCTGTCCACACCTATGACTTAGGTGTTCTAAGGGCTTCTTCCATCTGTTACTACTGTTTCTTCCTGGTGAGAGGGCCTGTGTTCCAGCCAAGGCCAAGCAAAACCAGCTGCTCATCCCCACCTTCTCCTGTGCTCAAGGCAGAATAAGAATGTCTGACTGGGGAAAAGACTGAGACCTGTCCTGCCTGGGACTTGTCACATAAGAGAGATTTTATCCCTGCTTTTATAGTACTGTGTGTCTTATTAGAAGCTGCTTGGTCCCACTTGGTGAGAGGAAGGCAGGATAGAAGCATTTTAAATAAACAAATATGACACACTCTGGCAAAAATGTTCAGACAGTGTTCATTTGCACTTGCCTCTCATAATTCTGAGTAACAACTCTGTGTGCGTTACCTGTCAAATTCTTCTCATCATTTACTTCACAGTTCATCTCATCCGTTTTCTGGAGTACAGGTATCCGGTTATCAACCAGGGTTTGTTCATGAAAGTTAGAGTTTGCATATATAGAGCCGTTTTCACAGTTTTTCAGTTCCATCTGCCTGGGTGGGAAAAAAACAAACCAAAACAAAGAAAGAATAACATTCTACCAATAAGGCTAACATTCAATCTGTCTGCCATCTAGAACTGAAAGATGCATAATATCATACAATGGACCAGCACCGTGGTCCACCCAAGGGGTACCATGTGCTGGAAGGCTATAAAAGCTTGGCACACTGACTCTCCTTTAAAAGTAAAAATCTTTGTGATTGGCTGTTTAGAAGGGGAAACTACAAATTCAGTCCTTCCTTGCCAACCAGACGGTGGTGGTAGTTCAGCTTTTAACACGAGCTCTAAGTGTGTAGTTCTAGCTGCTCCACAAGTTCTCCTTTTTCAACAGGGGCATGAAAAATTGAAAACAACAGAATCATTTCCATTTTTAAAGGAGCCATATGCCCGATAAAATATCTTCATAAGGTGTATATTAAATTTTTTAAATGCAATCCCAAATCACTAAAACGAGAACACTGAATTTAAAGTAGCTCACTGGCACCACTGTCAATGGAAATAAACTGACTAAGAATAGATTTGTCTCCAACAAAAAGTCCTTGTAGAGAGACTAAGGATTAGGGGGAAGGAAGTTTTCAGATTCAAAGACATATTCAGATTCAAAGATTCATAGTCCGCATAATATGTGCTGCTTTCTAACAGCGACACAGGCCAGGGAGAAATGGCATTAACAAACAAAGAAGAAAAGAGTGCCATACCTTTCTGATATAGTGTGACTAGGTATGCCAGGAGGTTTCAGCTGCAAGAAAAGAAAAGGCTGTTTGTTCTATTGCTTCAGGTTTCATTGTGCAGGCTGCACACACAAAGGCTCTGTCACAGTGCTGTCCACATATATGTTCAAGGAACGTGGAAGAGTTTAAAACAAACAAGCAGGCAGGCATTGATGGGGTTTCCATCAGAATCTAAGCACGGCAACATTAATGGTGGAACCCTAAAGAAGAGTTACATTCTTCTAAACGCATTGATTTCAGTGGGCCTTAGAACAGTGTAAACTCTTTTTAGGATTGCAATAGAAGTCTGCAATAGAAGTCTACAAAATTAAATGTAACCAAAATAAATACAGGGTGCCCTAAGCCAAGGTCAGGTAACATTCATGTTAATGGTACATACATATTGGTAACAACTTGTAGGCCAGCTTGATCTGATGAAGAAAGATGGGACAAAATGACTAGATTGGACCCTGTAACTCCCTTCCACTAATCAATGAGCCTTTCTCCAATTGAAAGAACCTCATACCAGAGGGAGAAGACCTCTGCAACGCTAACTGCTTTTGGAAAATTGCATATTGATGGATTTTCAATTTGTTTTTGGAACTTGATTGCATAATTATTGGCTTGGCTCTGAAGGTGCCCTTGCACAAGCTGAAGCTACTTACACTTGCACAAAGAGGGATCCCGAATTTCTTTTGGAGATTCTCCCCTTCTGTTGCAGCTCATAGTGCCATAACTCATGCTGTTCCAGAGGGGGCACAGGAAGTTCCAGCAGAACTATGGTGGTAGTGAACCTGCAACCTGCTAGCTAGAAGAACACTTCTTGCAAATTGTTAGACCTAAACTAGTTTGTTTCTTTCCATTTATAAAAAGGTGTCTCATAGACTGGACATGTCACAAATGGTCTTGCTGCAGTTTTTCAAAAGATTTTTCCAACCACAGGCCAAAACACATCACTTTTGTACACCCTTTTTGCTTGCAAAGTATCAAAACTTGGGCAGAACCAAAATGTGCTTGTTAACTGTAGTACCCTAACTGATTACATATTCTGAAGTATGGAACAACAACCTGTTTACCTATGAGAAGGAGAATTACATTTGAGCATCAGATGTTGTTCAATTCTACCTTGTTTGATTTGAGAGCTACTGAATGTGGAGACCCAGATGGTGTGCACTGCAGCAGTTCTGAAGAGAAGGCTGTGTTGGCGATCTGCATACATTCTTCAAGAGTCTTCAGGAATGTGGTACATGTGGATTTCAACAGTGCTCCCATATCAATTTCATTCTGCAAAATCAGAAGACCATTTCCAGTATCAAGCACTTCTTAGGCCTGACGCAACCATTGCAATTAAACTATTAGCACTCTGCCTTATACTATTATATGACTGGCACCCTTATACTGAGTCAGACCATTGGTCTATCAAGATCATTAATATGTCTTCTGAATGGCAGTAGCTTTCTGGTCTCATGTAGAGGTCTTTTACATTACCATTGTCTCCATTCTTAACTGGGAAGATCTCCAGAAGTAAGTTGTCCAACGAATAAATGGCTGGAACAGCATTATCAAAGTATGCAATGGACCTAGCAGAGGTCTCATTATCTAGACTTGCTTGAGACCACCTGGGTACAGTAGGTAATTTCTACACCTGCCATAGAGCTTTGAGGGCATTACCTATCAGGAGGTTATCTGCTCTCTTTTCCTCTCTCCTCATATTTATTTAGGCAGCAAAAAAGAGCAGAGGAGACAAGTAGGGATGGACACAAACAGGCTCATGAACCTGTTCATGGTTTGCAAACTGAAATTTGCAAACTGCAGCCTGGCCATGGACCTCCATGAACTTTTAAGGTGGTTTGTGGGGAGCAAAAAGCAGTGATTTAAACCCCTGCTTTCTCCTCCCTGCAAAAACTGCCAAAACAACTGAACCATGGGAGTAGGCTGCACCTGGCCCCTCAGCTGTTTATCCTGGAAACAACAGAGCGATGGGGGCAGTCTGTTCCTGCAGCTCAGTTGTCTCAAGCTCTAAACAGCTAAGCCTGCTCCACATGGCTCAGCTGTTTAAAGGGGCTTTCTTAGGCAGCCAGTCCCTGGGGCTTGCTGCTCAAGAAAGCCCCTTTAAACAGCTGATCCACGCAGAGCAGTTTGCTGTTTGGTTTAAATGGCTTGGAGATATTTAAACCCTGCTTTCTGCTCCCCACAAAAAGTAGTGGGGAGCAGAAAAGAGAGGTCACAAACCCATACAAACCGGTTTGATTTGCAAACCAACCTCCCATTTCACATAGGCTTGTGGTTCAGTTCATGGTTCAGTCACAAACCATGAACCGAACTGCAAAAATGTGGTTCGTGCCCATCCCCAAAGATAAGGATGTAAGCTTTGGCTGAAGAAGGTCTATTGCTAATTAAGGCTATTCTTATTATGCCAAGATCCATTCTCTTGCTTGAAAAGAAAAAAGAATAACATCTTGCATAAATACATTGCAAATGCACATACTACTAATTCTGGTAAGCTATCAGAAATGTAATAAGAGGTCTCCTCATCCTCCAATGATAGCAGCCTGGCATGAAAAAATATGGGATCAATTTGTGATGGCTAAGATAGCAGATAAAGTACATAGAGCTCAAATTTTACGGTCCTCTAATCTCAAATTTGAATCAACCTGGTTCCCGATATTTTCATTTCTTACCTCACGGGGCATATTGCCAATAAATACCTGCTACCAAAAATGGGTTCTGATGTAACGTACTAAAAATCGAAATTTAAAGGATGCTTTCATTATTTGTTATTATTATCTCTGGGGCTTTAAGTTCAAAAATACCTGAATGATACTGTAACTCATTTGTAGGAATGTCGAGTGTTTATTATTGGATTCTTTGCATGTTCTTGTTTGCTTTGTTATGAAAAATGAATAAAGAGGAATTTAAAAGAAATGTAATAAGAGTCATTGTTCATCCACTGTATCACAGTGGGAGGAGTAGGATATTACATTTTACAATGTCGCAAATTCGGAAGCTGCAACTAGTGCAGAATGCTGCAGCCAGGCTGCTGATGGATCTTCCTAGACGAGATCACATCCAGCCTGTGCTGAAAGCGCTGCACTGGTTGCCAATAGCGTACCGGGTTCGCTTCAAAGTGCTGGTTATCACCTTTAAAGCCCTATATGGCCAGGGACCAGCCTACCTAAGGGACCACCTTACCCCACATGTTCCCCCAAGGGCACTACGGTCGGGAAGCCAGAACCTACTGGAGGTACCGGGCCCCTGGGCCATCAAATTAACCATGACCAAGAACAGGGCGTTTTCGGTGGCGGCTCCTATCTGGTGGAATGAGCTCCCAGAGGAGATCAGGGCTCTGCGGGACCTAGGACAGTTCCGCAGAGCCTGCAAGACGGAGCTCTTCCGCCAGGCTTTCGAATAGGAGCCGCCACCACCACTAGACCATCAATGCATCAGTATACCATCGACGCCCGGAAGGACATCTGGATATGGGCATGGACTGCCAAAGCCCTAAATACTTTCTTTTGCATTATGGGCAAGACTGGGACGTTCAGAGGACCGCCATCTTGGTTTTAGCTAGCTTTGTTTTAGATAGGTTATAAATTATGATGCAATTTTAATATTTTGTATTGTTTTACTGTGTTATTAATTATATGTTGTTAGCCGCCCTGAGCCTCCGGGGAGGGCGGGGTATAAATATAAATAATAAATAAATAAATAAATAAATCAGAATCTTGTACCACAAAAAACATAGCCTCACATTGTGTTCTCACTGACCTATACTTGTCAACCACTCACCCAGAATGGTCCCTGTGTTTTTAATACATGGCAACAGGTTTGACACCATCCATTATAGTGCTGTGGTGACAGGAAAAGCTAGACCTGCTTTTGTTCTCCATACCAAGCTGCTTTGAAAGGCTCCCATGTGTCGTTCCTGGCTACATGTTGACAATTTATACACAGGCCACACTATAATATTTTTCAGAATGAATGAAGCCTGCCAGTAATGCATATAGTTAACACAATGCAATGATACAAGGAAATGTTTCCTTCTACAAATTATTACAATGGCATTACTGCCACGGATATAAAGATATATAAGATACTCTCAGCTGTGGCTGATCTTCAACCAAATCAGATTTACCTCAAATTCTGCTACACTGGATAGGCCCATTTCCTTAGTTTTATCCACTTGCTGAACAAGGAGGTCACAATATAGTCTAAGTTCTGCCATTCGTTTTTTGAGTACTTCAGTGTTTTCTGTAAACTCTAACGACACAAATACACACAAAATCAGACATATCTAGTTAAAACAATTTTAGGAATTTGTTAAATTGGTCAGTATACTTCAAACTACCCAACACAAATGGGCATTATTCAAAATACACTGTACACTATTTAGAAGATTGGCCATTTATTTAGTCTATGGAGTTTTGGAGGTGGAGTATGAAAGGTCAAAGATGAAGAAAAAAAACCAAGCCTGATGCTATTGGTTTCCCCTCTGATCCAGGTTATTAGATCAGTTACTGATAGTGAAAAACTATGAAGAATTGTCTAGGCAGAAAAGAAATTATAGATTTGAAATGCCTTGAACAAAGTATAAGGAATATGGAAAGAGGGCACATAATTTTTTCATGTGTCTGATAATAGGTCGCTTTCATTTTATTTATTTCATACATTTCCCATCCCACACTTTTACTCCAAAATAAATTTCTGAGGTAGCTTACAATAAAATGAATAAAATACAAGTTCTATAAACACCAACAATATAATATATAAATTCCTCCCTTAAACTAAAACCATTACTTGAGTCTTATCAGAAAATTAAGAGACAGATTTCTGGGAGTCTGGAGAATACAAGTGGCTCCCAGAACAACTTAAAGAAATTTAAAAAGAATATAGCTAGTATTTTTTTACATTAAACAGGAAACTGGCCCAGTGATAACACTGGTTTAAATTAGGTTTAGTAGATAGGACATAGTTACGATTCATGGTCATTTTTTAAATTCAGATTTAAGAAGCAGTTTCATCCCATTTTCCCTAACACATCCCCATTATCTTCTCCTTTTTGTCTTGGCTGGATTTTTATAAAGAATGATTAAACTCAGTCATCCTTACTTTTTATACCCACAGACTGTAATATTCAACGAATGAATCAACAAACCCTTACAGAAAGGGACTGCATTCATACAGGCTACAAACCGGGGTTTGTCATTACAAGAACAAGTCTTGGGCTTCTCAAACTTATTTATTCACTTCATTTATATCTTGCCTTTCTCCCCAGTGCAGCTTACATTGTTCTCCTCTCCTCCATTTCACCCTCACAATAACCCTATGAGGTAAGGTCAGCTGAGCATGTGCGTGTGTGCCCCAAGGTCACTTAGTTAGTTTCAGTGGCAGAGCGGGAATCTAAACTCTAACCACTACACGACACTGGCTTTCACGTTTACGTGCTCCCTTCCTCCTCTTCCCCTTATGTGGAACCTAGGAACTGAAGTTTTCTTACTTTGCAACAAACCACAGTTTATCAATACATCTGAAACTGTAAGCAAGAAATGAACCATAGTTACAAACCAGAAATCTTCTATTATCAAGTCATGTCAAGGATAGGAGGGAATACAGGGAAAGCAGTACAGAATTTCCAGGGTTCATTCTTGTAATGATAAAAAAACAGTTTGTTGTTACCTCTGAATGCAGCCATTGTGTTCATGCTCAAAATGAGTAGCAGAACACATTACTGAAGTATTACATATTATGTCTGTTTTTGTTTGTTGGTTGGTATTTCCAAGTGCTACAACTGAGAGAAGAGAATGGAAATTCAAACAAATAGTATTTTGTTTTAGGAAGCTGAGAAGTGTGTTGGAGGTGCATCCTGACCAGAGAAGAGCTTGCCTTTCTCCTTCTGTGTCCTAACGTCAGTCAAGCAGGCTTTGGCAGTTCCTAGGGCAACCAACCACTTTTGCCTCTCAGCTGCATTTCTGGCTTTCAGGTAGAAGTACTGTTCTCCTGGGATAAAAAGATCCATCCGTGTGTTATCTGTAGAATGAACTAAGATGAACAGAGTTAAGATAGATACAGAACACTTCTCCTTGCTTGAAAAACAGTAGGACAATGTAGGCTTATGTTATGTTCTAATAAGCAAGAACTGTCATCCTGCAAGTCCAACAAAACAGAGGTGCTACTGCTGGACACAAGGATTGACCCAGGAACTGAGGTATCTAGAGAGGGTTACCCATTCCCTAAAAGAGTAGGTTTGTAGCTTGGTACAGCTGGACCTCCTGTTAGATAAGCAAGTGGTGGCAGTGGCTAAGAGCACCTTTCAACAGCTTTACCCTTTCCCGGGCAAAAATATCTTGCCACTGTGGTCCATGGGCTAGTAATAGCTAGATTAGACTACTGCAGTGGACTCTACTTGGGGCTGCCATTGAAGAGTGTCTGGAACTGACAGCTGGTACAAAATGCTGGTACTGACCTTTAAAACCCTAAGGCTTCGGGCCATTATACCTTAAAAGGTAAAGGTAAAGGTTCCCTTGCTCGAAAGCCAGTCGAATCCAACTCTAGGGTTGCGGTGCTCATCTCTGTTTCAAAGCCGAAGAGCCAGCGCTGTCCGAAGACATTTCCATGGTCATGTGGCCGGCATGACTAAACACCAAGGCCCACGGAACGCTGTTACCTTCCCACTGAAGTGGTACCTATTTATCTACTTGCAATTTCTTGCTTTCAAACTGCTAGGTTGGCAGGAGCATTATACCTTAAGGGCTGCCTATTCCCATATGAACCAACCTGGCCACTACAGTCATCTTCAGAGGTCCTTCTTTGGGTGCCCCCACCATCAGAGGCTAAGTGGGCTGCAGCCCAAGGAAGGGCCTTCTAGTCCTTCCCCAAGGAGAATCATCTGTACCCCTCTAGCACTGTGTTCTACCAGGAGGTAAAGACATTTCTGTTTTGTTTGGCCTTCCCTCACTGATCTCCCATTTATGTTTTGTTTTATTGTTTTATATATGTATTTTAAAACATATTTTAATGTTTGATTGATCGCCACTTTGGAGACCCTAAATTGGGTGGAAAGGCAGCATAAAAATGTCTCAAATAAATAAAAATCTCTCTTAGTTACCTTGAATTTCACATACTGCCATCTGGATACTTCCCTTACAACCTTTCCAAGCATCTTCCCGTGAGTCGTAATAGGACAACACCCCTCCTCCAAGAAGGAACCATCGAGGTTGCCAGCCTGGAAACGGGGGAGAGGGGGAATAAGCTTTAGCACCAGTCAGGAGAAGACCTCAAATATTTAGCCGCCATTTTCAGACAGTCAAGCAAGCATCCTGCTAAAGTAAAACCCGCCACACAATTGCCCTTGCACCTCTGGAAGTAAACCCCGCCACACAATTGCCCTTGCACCTCTGTCATTCAGCTACGTTAATTCTGTGTCGATCTCTGCAATGATACAAACAGGAGTCTAGTGGCACCTTAAGAACACACAGGATTTTAATTCAGCACAAATAATTCAGCACAAATTATTTATTTAGTTTATTTATATCCCACCTTTCTCCCCAATGGGGACCCAAAGCGGCTGACATCAAGATCTTGGAAGCTAAGCCGGAATAAAATCTTGGCCCATCCTTGTTGTCCCACTGACTGGGATAGCCCAGGTTAGCCCGATCTCATCAGATCTTGGAAGCTAAGCGGGGCCAGCCCTGGCTTGTATTTGGATGGGAGACATCCAAGGAATACCAGGGTTGTGATGCGGAGCCATGCAATGGCAAACTACCTCTGAACATCCCTAGCCTTGAAAATCCCACGGGGGTCACCATAATTCAGCTGTGACTTGATGGCAAAGAAAAAAGACTGGTCCCCCCCCCCGCGCGCGCGCTGCAACAGACTAATATGGCAGTCTCTCTCAGTATGTCTCCAAGCAGAGGACTGAGAAAGAAATGGAAAGAAAAGTGAAAGGCTGTCAGGTTCAACAGCATGTAAATCTCCACACACGTTTCCAGGGAATCGTTATGCTTTATTAGACTACAGGTCCGTTGTCATGATCTACAGGGATGCTGCAATTGGCTAAGCAAATGAAATCCAAGAGCACGCGCGGGGGAATTCTCCTGGCGGGAGGTTACATAATGAACGGGAGAGTCTCCGTGCCTCATGAGAGCAGAAATATTCACACCAACAGTGGAACGCAAGCCCTCCCTCCTCCTCAAGGTTAGTCAGATAACCCAGTCTGGCAGCACCAGTTCGCACGGTCTCATGAGCGCCTCCCTATCGCTGTTTACAGCAAGCGAGCAAGCATGCGCAGTCGCGCCACAGGCAGGAAAGGACAAATACGGATGAAACATGGCAGCTAGCTGACAAAGGCAGAGGATATCAGATGAATGCTGAAGAAATGATCACTGAAATCATCTATATTGCAGGACACTGGGATCTTAGTTTCAAACGGAGTCACGGTCACTCACTCGTAAAAAAACATAGCTACTGTTACTAACCATTATGTCACTTTCAGTGTGTCAGGACCTTCCCTTTTCAGAAGTCTCCACAGAAGAACAGGAAGACTCCCCAAGGGCTAAGGAGCCCCCTGTGGCCCCCATTATACCTGAGGCTCCCTGTACCCAACAGCCTCCGGGGGAGGGCCCTGGCCCAACAGGTGGACCAAGAACAGGTGGACCAAGAACCTCCTGAATGAAACCATCCATCTCCAGCACCCCCGGAGTCTCTCCCAGGACTCCAGGAATAAAGAAGTTAGAAAGCCTGGAGCAGGCAAAGGAGCACACACCTGGCACCTTGAGGCAACACACCCTAGTCTTGTGCAAGAGCAGAACCGCACTCTCTGGATCTTTGCAGAATCAAAGACCCAAATGAACACAGGAAGGGGTGGGGTTATCAGCTCCCTACAGAAGTTTTCAGATAAACTCCAGCCTGCGCTAGTTCAGGCTCTCTCCTCCCTAGCTCATGCTCGTCCTGGACAGCTCCTGCAGAAGGATCCTGCTATCCAGATCCTAGGGCTGCCCACGGGAGATTCCCTGCCTTTCCCCTGGTGTCCAAGTAGATAACAGGATACCTCATGGCTATCAATCATAAATCTACTAAAACAGGCAGTCCCTAAGATGTGATTGGTATTGTTATGGCCAGCTGAATGTATATTCTGCAAAAACTGGTGTCTCATGGGAAATGCAGAAATTGATACCTGGCACAGCATTTCACAACTTAGCGATCTAAACTTTTTTAAAGAGCCTAAACTCTGGTCCTCGTTCTGGTAATACCTGGCAAATAGAAGCGAAGCAAGCTGAGACACAGCTGCCATGGGTCAGGAAATGGGATTTCACTAAGCTGCCTACTCCAGCTCTTCCTTTGGTGGCCATTATCCCTCTCTACCTTTTCCCAGTCACAACGGAATTCCAGTGTCTTAAGCCTTTCTCACTTTCCATAGACACCCTCCCGCCCAGCTGTAGACTCTTTAAAATTCTCATTTATGGAAGTAAAACAAAATTATTTGAAGAAGAAAATACATACAAAAGTACTTCCATGGACCATTTCAATTTGGGGTTCTTTAGCAACAAATTTAAAACATTTTAAAGAGGAGGAGATTGGATGTATACTCCGTCATTCACTACCCGAAGGAGTCTCAGAGCAGTTTACAATCTCCTTTCCCTCCCCCTCCCCACAACAGACACCCTGTGAGCAATGTTCCCTCTAAGCTGTGGAGTGTTGTGAACAAAAATTCTACTTTGTGAGCTACTGGCATTAAAGTAGTGAGCGAGCGATTTGGCTGCTGCATACATTAGTTTGCTCTGGGGCCCTCCTTCCTGAGCAGAGACAAAAATGTGTGAGCCGGAGGCTGAAAAACGGTGAGCTAGCTCACACCAACTCAGCTTAGAGAGAACACTGCCTGTGAGGTAGGTGTGGCTGAGAGAGCTGTCTCAAGAACTGCTCTTGACAGGACAGCTCTGAGAGAACTGTGACTGACCCAAGGTCATGCCAGCAGCTGCATGTGGAGCAGAGGCAGAGAAATGGAGGCTGCAATCCTCTGAGTACTTACTGGAGCAAAACTCATTGAATATAGTGGCACTTACTAGAGTAAACATGCCTAGGATTGAGCTACACACCCTTGCTCTGGACACGGGTGTCCCAGTCTGGCACTCTAACCACTATACCATAACAGCTGCTGCCAAGAACATTTGTGCCTATATTCCACTGCCCATGTTTGGCTGCTACACATCATCACCAGAGGAACAGCAACTCAAGTTCCAACGAGTTCATGTTGTTGGAATTACGAGTGCAGGCATTATCTACCTAAACAGATGCATCTTATTGCATCATTCCTCAGTCTTCCATTTTATCCTCAAAACAACCCTGTTAGACTGAGGGACTCTCCCTGGCTCATGATCAGCCAGCAAACTTCCACGGCAGAGAGGGGATTCGAACCTGGGTCTCTCAGTTGCTAGCTTGACACTGTAACCACTACACCCTACTGGCTCTCTATGGCATTTGTATTGAGACTTTCCTCCCAGAAACTCATTGAGGGATACGTATTTCTCCCTTCCTTCATTTTATCTTCACAATAATCCTGTGTGGTAGGTCTGGCTGGGAGAGAATGAATGTGCCCATGGTCTCCCCCCCAGCTTCCCAGAGAAGGGGGACTTGAACCTGGGGCAGTAACTCTAACTGCTACACGATGCCAGCTTTCTTAGCCTTTGCATTGCCATTCTCCCCACACCCCTCGTGAAAAGAGGCAGCCATCTCTACGTGAAGCTATCAAAGGTTCCGTTCACATGAGGGGATTTGGGCCGGGAGCGGGACGGTTCGGGGGCGGAGCAAACGGCCGCGATCACACCACATCTGGGAAGCGTAGTGCTTCTGTTCCCGAACTGGCCCTTCCGAGCAATAACCCGCATCACGTTGGAACCACCTACCGAGGTGGTTCATCTCAAAGGTGCGCTGCAAACCGGGAGTCTGATCACCGGCGCATCCATGCGCCGGCGCGTCCCCGGCTCCTAGCCGAACTGCGCATGCTTCGACATCTGGCTCGCCGTCAGATCTGTGTTTTCTCCCCGGCATCTGATCGTGCCAGGGAGAAAAGGCGGCGCGGCCAGGGGATCCATGGGATCCCGCCGCGCCGTTTCAACTTTGGTGCAGCTTTTAAAAGCCACACTTTTTGGCGGCTTTTCCCCTGCCGTGTGGCAGGAGCCAAACAAGAATTTACTATTTGTTATCTGGTTGCACATCACAACAGTTAACTGACTCTTGATTTGCAGCCTGACACCAGACTGCCAATCAGTCCATTAAGCCGTGGCCCTGAAGAGTTCAGGCAAACAATGCAAAGCACACAAGGCCACTGGGCTGATGCGCCCTGCCACAGTGATAATGAATCCATGGTCTAATAGCCAATATCATGAGGGGCACATGCAGACCCTGCAACAAAGAGGTGCTGTTAGAATGAGCTCGCTCCGTTTTTATTCTTACACAGAGAAGCATGCATAGGAGTGGGGCAATGAAACCAGGACAGGATATAGCATACATTTTTAAAAATCAAGTTAAGCTTCCAAGCTAAAACCAAAATAAAATAATAAATAAACATTCCCCATTGCTGGGGATTTCTAAATTCAGACAGCCGGTAATAAAGCCGTGCACTGAGAAATGACTAATTGCTTTAGACCTCGGTGGGCATAAAAAATGAGCACGTAAATAATACATAGCCCCTCAGTCAACAGAGACCTCTCACTCATTGTGGGGCTCCTGGTCATAAATAACCATAACTGTACTCTTTTATTTCTAGGATAGCAGGACAATCCCTCCTCAGACATGCAACAGATTTACGCCCTTTCTGTCACAGACCATACACAGTGCATTTAACCAAGAGCTGCACAGCTCATCTCTGCTACAGTTTTGAGGGGTCATTTCCATATTTTGCAGTGTGAAAGAAAGAGAAATGACACCCTTTTGAAAAACAAAACAAAGATGAAGCGTTCCTTTATTGTCTGACTATTGAGCACTGAACAAAGTAAAATGCGATCTTGGCGATACAATCAGCCAAGCCTTCAAAATGCTAAATGGGGGGGGGGGATTACACCCAGCCACCCTAATAATTCATTTATTGATGCCCACATTCTGAAAGAGAGAGCAGGATGATCAAAGCATGCTAATGAACTTCTAATACAAAATGCCTCTAATGAAGCAGGGCTCTCGCTGACAAATAAATCTGATCGTATTTAAGGCACCCTTCCCCCCCCCACCCCC